GGACCATATTTGGAACGTGTAGAGAGGATAACGGACCAATCAAATTGGAAAAAAGGCAGCACTAAAGCCTCATGAATCCTGGGAAGAATGAACAAACAAGAAAATAGAGAAAATCAGCGAAAGGTTGAGTCATAACATGGATATAAAATATCCTACAAAGAACTCTGCGATGGCCAAGACTAATACAGCTGTCGTGCCGCATTCGAGCCACTCGTCTCATCGAAATAAGCTAAAACGCACTTCGTATTTTCTAATTAACTTGGCTGCAGCGGATCTGCTCATCGGCTTCGCAGAACCAGCAACGATCGGAACAGTTGGAATACCACAGCGATTTGGCCACGAATACTACGGAATGAGTCTGCAGCATTTCAAGCTATATGCGTGACCACTTTAAATTTGCAATTGTGGTCTGCCTCGTTCTTATTTCGTTGGAACGAGCGTTTACATTGATTTGGTCTTTTCAATATTATTATTAACCCAATATTATAGAGGTTCAAAGACGGAAGGAATTGACAAGTAAAATTCAGGTTGGTTTTTCGTTCTGCTATCAGTTGAACAGTTATTTGATGGGTAATCAGTACAATCCGTGCTTTTCTTTCTTAAGAAATTTTAAGTACATATACAATAAAAATTTCATATACAAAGTGGAAAGTATTAACACAGCAGCGCAGCAGTAGTTTACGTGTAGAGGAATCGACCCAAGTAAGGGAATCCGAATTTCGGAAACCAGAAAATTTTTGCCTGTTGAATCCGGAATCTTGGAAATTTTTGCTTGTGGAATCCAGAATCCTGGACTTTGGAACCCAGAATATAGCCGTAGGAACCCGGAATCCAAGTTCCACTGAAAAAGATCTGGAATCCAGTAATTGGAATCCCGAATCCACGGCGTGGAATCCAGAATCCCTGAGACTGTCTGGGTGCAGCTCAGGGTGCAGTATTTTTGACCTTGGTCATAGTTAAATTTTTACTGTTGATACCGTAATCGCCTTTTTTTTTTACTCAAGTATCGAGCAAAACGTCACATGCGATTGTATTACAAACCCGGCAAAACATTATACAATGACCCGGAAAACCGTTGAAGGAAATGATTGCGGACGAATAACAGCGTCTCGGAAAGCTTCGCTTTCCAAATGGGCCACCCTTCGGACGACCTTCGTTCTCACCGAGCATTGTGTAATACTGATTTCACCAGGTTTGTAACACGATCACACGACGGTTTGATCGGACAAATTGTTACTCGATTACACAGTAAACACAGCGGGTGTCACTAAACAGAGTAACGCAGTAACCACCACTTTGAAATATTAAAGTAGCCAAGTGGATCCTACCAAAGAAGAGTTAATTTCTTGCCCTGATAGTAACTATGATTCAGTTATTCTGAATTGATTGATGTTAAACGCAACTTCGAACAAACCAGTCATTTTGAATTTTTCTTTACTTCAGCTTTACTTTAATCGACAATCTATCTAAAAACTAGTCTCGATCTGCATTTCTATTTTGCCGCCTTAATTCAAATTTCAGAGTCTTTACATCGGTAGGTTATTTTTAAACATGATTTATAATGCCTTTTAAAACGGTGGAAAAATTCACTTTAATTAACTTTTGGAAGGTAGTATTAGTAAGTCGAATCCCGAATTTTCGAGGAGTTAAGAGACATTTAAAGTTGAGCAGGAAAGGTTGTAACCCTGGGAGTAATAAGCGAGAAGACCGTTTCTAAGCCTTGGCAATTCAATCGAGTACTTGGTTACCTGATAACCGTAATAAGGACCCAACAAGGTTCTAATTATTTTGATTTACCTGACAGAGTTATTTCTAATAAGAAATGAAATAATTTTGGCAGTAAGAAAGAAAATCTGTAGCTTGCCTTCCTCTTATGGTTGCTCCTCGGGGATTAGGTAACTTTTCGGCGTGAAAATACCTTCGACTTTGCTGGAGGGAGGGGTGGGGGAGGTTGACGTCGTTTTTGGAATACACATATTCTTCGAGATTGGTAAAGGTCATTATTACGAAATTACAACCATTTTTACGGTTTTTCGTCCATTAGGAGTTATTTTCTTATTTTCTTTTTAACCTCTTGAATTTTTATCCCGTTACTCGTTTTCTCGTTACTCCGTTACTCGTTACTGCGTTACTCTGTTTAGTAACACCCTAACATAGCCTCCTACGCAGACGTTCTTAGGGGTTCGTCACGCGTTCAAGTAAGCACAAATAACTCCTCTGCGCCCTGTGCTGTTTGTTCGCATTTGATTTACTGATTTCAACTTTATGAATCTTGATGATCCTCTCGAAAAAGGGTGTATTTGTTAACAGCTGATAACAGCAATACCTGTAAAATTATAATTAGCAGGATCTTGATTTTTTAAAAGAAAGAATTATTTAATGACAATAATATAGATTACCTTCATAGCCTTAAGCAGTTTTTGTAATTAAACAGTACAAACGCAATAAAGATTTACTTTTACTGTTACAAGGATTGGCGTTTCCTTCATTCTGAAATAAAAAGTTTAGATTTTGTAATTACCAAACGCCTTTGGGAGAGAAAGGGCGGTTAAGAAACGGTGTAATCTTCAAGATAAGGCCAGTGGGAAAACCCCCCAAAGTGGTGGTCGATTCATAGAAATATCTTTTGAAGAAGACACTTACTGAAAAAGCGCGATATCTCATTCAACCGATCAGTGTATTAACCCTCACTATATATAAGTACCCGTCAGCAACTGTTGTATGATGTGTTAGGGAAAACAAGACAATCACAACATCATTCGTGTTCATGTCTCTAGGCGTTCAAAATCAGATTGGTTTTTTCAGTTAAATCTGAGTGTTCAATAAAACAACAACTTTAGAATAATAAGAACTACCAAAATCAGCGATGGTTGCAACACGCCCCGAGCGTCTAGGTTCAGGATTATAGCTATCTTCAGGTCCAACAGTAAACTGCTTCGGCCTGCAAGCAAGCATATCGTGTGAGAGGTACATGTAGACGCGCGAACGCGAGAAGAGACCGTGCAAAAGCCGGGGGAGGGGAGGGTAGGGATCGGGTTGTTACAATGGTATTACAATAAGGTAAATTTAAGTCGAAAAGAATTCATAGATGGAGGGTGTACCTACAAAAATACTGGGTCGAGTCACCTAAAGTACATAAACATTTTGTAACTGAATACATTAAAAGTTAATAACAGGTGACCCTAGGTCATTCCATAACTTTTAACGTAAATTTAGCTTGAACGTCCTCTTTGCCTTTTATCGAGGGAATATATTACATCTATCATAACTGAAGGCTCGGTCACCAATGGTGGCAAGACCCTTAAAATCGCCATGACCACTTTCGAAAAGGAACTGGTAGTCTTAGTCTGGTAACCTGATGCGTTAAAAATGATGTCGTATCTTAAAATTACAATGATAGAAAAATAAAAGTTAGTAGACTAAATGTTTATCGAGAAAAGTCGCTGAAAATAGTCATTGAATTGGTAGCTATTCCTTTTATTATCAGCGACAATCTTATATTTTACCCACCAGTCCCGTAATAAGCACAAATACCACCCCAATCTATGCCGCGACTCGTATCTTAAATCTGATCAAGGATGTTTCGCCTAAAAAATTGAATTGAATTCCTAAAGACCATTCTGAACGTGACTCAGGATTACATGGACTCCACATGGGGACCATGCTCCAACTGAGAGCATTTTTTTTCTAAATATTATAATTTAGATAATTTTTTGCTTACAAGCGTAATCAATAGAGGATCAACTTATCTTCTCCTTTCTTAAGCGATACCTTTACGGACAAAAATATTGGCTTTCCGTCCTGAACACGCTGAGTGAGACCAAAATCTGCAATTTTTACCACTATGAGAGCCTCCCCGTCACTCTCATGGCAACTCCCCCGGCAATGGATCACGATTTGTGAGTCCTGCTTTTGAGTCAGTACAGTAAAACCTCTATTAAGCGCACTCCCAATTAGCGGACACCCTCTATTAAGCGGGCACTTAGCCGCGTCCCGAAATTAACGTCTTATACTTCTCTTTATAACGAACACCTATTCAGCGGACACTAAAATGAATTGTGTTTGGCCAATTTCTATTGTTAGCTCAAGCGGACACCAGACTGAATTGACAATAGTACGGTATTGGATTCCGTCCTTCCTATGACTGTCATCCACGATCAAAGTTCACCTAAAAGTCTTGCACAAAGTACAGCACAGCTTCCTTAGCTTCCGTAACAACATAGAACTTGATCACAGTACATAGTTACCGTTGAATGTTAATCGTTAACGAACAATAAACAAACGCAAAAAATAAATTGGAAACCGTCCTTGGAAGAAGCCAAGAAAATGAAATGTTATTAAAGACTTATATCTAATCAACTTGTCCAAGTCTCAGGTCTTTGTGGCCCACAGTTCCTGAGTTATTTGCAAAAACGTTTCACGCACATTTTGTAGAGCTTTGTATGGAGACGCCATTGATGTTCAGTTTTTGTAAAATGGCTGCCGGAAATCAACAAAAATATCCGGAGTTCACTTTTTCTATAAAATGATAAAAGCTCTTTCTTTTCACTCGAGAGCTTGCATACGTGCACATAAACACACCTTCTAATACTTGAAAAGGTTAAACTGCTCAATCAGAAAGAGAGATTTTATTTCAGCGAGACAGCATTCCTCTTTTGGTGTGACGCACTGTGAAAACTCGGAAATTCAGATTGCTGTATTTCCGAAATGAAACATGCTATGGGGCTGGAAAATTGTTCAAAGATTTATTTTTTGTTTATAAGAATTCGTAAAACCTCTTTGCTTTGACTTTACAATAAAACCATCTATTACTGTTGGGATTTCCATTTTACTGTTTTTCCTGCGGGCGTTTCTTACGTCAGCTGACACATTGATTTGAAGTAAGATCTCGTGATCTGAAACTGGATCTTTGTTTTGTTTTAAAAATACAAACTGGGTAAAAACACGAGAAGTAGCAGAACATTTGATTTAAGAATATTCATTCTGAAGTAATAAGAAGCATGTCTGCAATTATATCAGCTGTATTTAAAGCCACCATCGGCTTGATCGTGGATAAAGGAAGAGATGTAGCAGCGGAGAGGCTGAAAGAAGGTGACGTGGCTGATCAGAAATTTCGCAGCCTCATCGTGCGTGATTTGAAAGAGATCCACTACAAGTTGGATGCTTTATCACAAAAGGATCTTAATGCAGCTATAGACTTCTTTGAAACAGGACTCGGATGTCTATACAAGGCAGTCGATACAATGCGCAGTGCTAATGTTAGTTTGGGAGCAGCGAAGGTATCTGAAAGAAATGAAGAAGGTGACTTTAAACAAGTAACTTTGCCCTCGGACACTGACCCTGAAAAGACATTAGTCCTTGCAGATGGAATAAGAAACATGCAACTAACTGAGTTGGATGAAACAACGAAAAGTCTGCTTTCTGACGCACTAGAGAAATTCAGATTAGCTGTTGAAGACGCGACACACGCCTGTAACAATGAAGCCCTCAGCACTTTTGACCGAATCACAGCCATTCGATATCGTGTTATGGCGGCTATGTTAAAGTCAGCAGCTGAGACAGTGAGAACCACTGGTGACTTGACAAGTACTTTGCAGAAAGCATTACCAGAGTGCGAACAGTGCCTGAAGAAACTCAATTCGTTACCTGCTGTTCAAAACAGCTATAAAGTGGAGCTCAGTAAAGGTCTCCTAAACATAAGAGGTCAGTTTGGTAAAGATGAACGGATGCAAATAATTTCCACTGTATGTCAGGTAAATCGCACCATCTACGATGTCATGCGAACGGTTGGTAAAGACGTACATGTCTTGGCGTGGCCATATGTTGACACCGGAGAAGATAAAGTTGACCCTCTTCGCGATGTAAGAGTGTTACAAGTGTTGGAGAAATCAGAGAAAGTTGACATGGAGCACTACCGCATTACACCGGGGTTGTCGTTTGATATGCCAGGCATCCACTGTGCTACTAACACCGTGGGACAGTTTCTGATTGCAGGAGAGCGCGGGGAAACCGTGCATGTTTTCGATAAAAATGGTATGTTTCAGTTTAGGTTTAGGCCCCAAACTGATGATGCTAAAACTAAGATTCAAATTCGTGATCTCGTCACTGAAGACGTTAGCGAGAAGATCTATTTACTGATCGGACTGTACAATGAAGAACGATGGGAGTCAAGTGAAGTGCAGGTTTTAAACAAAACCGGTGACCTTCAGTACAAGTTTCCTGTGACACGCGAGAGTAGACTGGTAGTTAGCGGCAGCAAACTAGTAATATTGGGATCAAGGGAGGCTGACGTTTACGATCAGAATGGTGAGTTTGATCGTAGTTTTGAGGTTTTCAAGAGTGGACGCGACAAGTATTTATTTGATTGCACTGCTACTTACGATGGTCGCATCATGATAACTCACCGTAAAAGAGACTACAGCGATTACCACTGTGTTCATGTATTCACAATGGAGGGAAAGGAGATTGCAAGATTCAGATCTGGCGTCGGATTAGATTTAGCCTTCATGCGCTTTTCACCTCGCTCTGCAGGTGAACATGTTGTCATCGCTGGTTACAATAGAGAGGATGGGATCATAACAGTGGAGTTATACACTGTGGATGGAAAACTAGTGCGAAGAGTTCTGCTGCGTAATAAAAGTAGATTTCTTTTTGATGGAATTACGGTGACCATGGAAGGACACATCGCTGTGTTTTTTGGTGGAAAGGCCGTTGTATACAAAAACTAAAAGACGCGGCTTTTTGCCTGGACAAATATTGTGAGGAATTTCATACAAAACAACTGAGTTACAGCACAAATCATAACTATAACAAAATTCTCAAATCTGATTGACTATCAACTGCCCTGATTTTAGCGTTAATAGGACAGTACGCATCATTCCTAAGTAATTGGACAGTACGCGCCATCACCCGCGCGCTTAACTGGATTTTTTTTACTGGTAGCAAAAAAAAATCTTAGAATTTCTTGTTTTTTGATTATACAAAGAGCCTTATAAATAAAAAATTTTGTTAAAGTTATGATTAATTTGTAACAGAACTTCGTGTCGTTTAATTCGGTCTATAATCATACTCTTGATTATACAAATCGGGCTCCCGTTACGCGGTCATCCGATTTGGTTAATCACGAGTATGATTACAGACCGAGCTGGACTCCACTCAGTCCTGTTACCATTACTAACAAGCTTTTTCTTTTCAAAAATATCATATCTCTATATATTTTATGAAATCTATTAGGCACAGGTTAACACTGTTAATTGATACTTTTGGAACTGTCAAAAAAAAACTTTAACGTTGTAATAAGTTTTTCATGCCGGGGAAAATTATAAAGCCAAAGACGTTTTAATCTCTAGAATCCTTTAAAATTTCAAACGATGTAATAATATTTTATTCATCAGTCGGGATTTTTGCTTAAAAAGAATGGAGTATGGCCCGGCCACCAAAATCCGTTGAACTAATCAAGCATTTACAACAGATTCGTTTTTTCCTTGACGGCTATCCTTCCCATGCTCATCTTATTTCGCGAACATGAACAGTACACTTCCTTTAACGTGAGGTTAACTTTCTGGCTATACTAAAAATTTCGCGTGTTTCAGATCAGATGCTAACAAAGTTGCAAACACAAAAAATTGGTGATTACCGGTACAAAATTTTCCAATTGTTTCCAAACGCCAAACTCTATTTTTCGTCATACTGCGAACAGGGCCCAATACTCGCACTTAGATGAAAAAGTTTAAGCCCTTAGGTTGTGCACTAATTGCGATGAGCACATTCGCTTTTATATCGGGCTGAAGCCGGATGTGAACTTATACCTGTTAAAAAATATATACAGCTGTAGCTAAATGTTGGTTTTAATTTGTTAATGAATCACTTCCAGTAAGTTTGACTTTGTTTCTTTGGAAAACGAGAAAAATCGTGGATGAGACCTCGTCACTACCGAAACACTGCGGCTTAGCATTCTCGCCAAGCCAAATTGGTCTACTGAATGGGTCAAACATTTGAGCTCGGAGGAATAATTTCCATGCTCTGCTATATTTAAGACCATGATCTTTAGATACTCAGACAAGTTTTCCTGGGGAAAGATATCTCATAAAGTTACCTTCAACAGACTCCTGCTTGATAGGACTGATTTTGAACTGCAACCCCTTAATTTATTATTCATCCAAAATATATGCGCCCTTTTCTGATTGGCTTAAAGGCCAACGGGTGTTTACCGTATTTTGAAGATGCGAGCAACATATCATCGATTCGATGGTATACATTTCATTGGAAACGAGGGAACTAGACAATCGATCAACCTCGTTTTCCATGCGCGGCCGACTAGCTGTTATTGACGAGTGAACTAAAAAATGGCGTTCACGGCTATCCGAAGATGAAGTAGCTGAATTTCTAACTAAAACTTCACGGAATAAATGCAAAAATATACAAAATATATCGCTCGTGGATAACATCCTCCTTGATCTGCATAATTCTTTACATTCTACTTAGCCTCATTCAATAATTGCTAAATATGTAATAATCCAACACTCTTAAATGGCTCTGGTGTGTTGTCTCGCCTTAGCTCGCTGGCAATTGAATAACAAAGTAATTTTCTGTTTCCTCCAGTTTGATTTTCGCTGTAATATTGCATTTTCCATGTAATGTGTGATCAGTACAATAAGTGTATTCCTTTCCCACAAAACTAACGTTAGAGGTTTATAATACTAAACAAAGTTCATATACAAAGAACGGGGGCGCAGCTATACGTTTAGGCGATAGAATGTGCTTAGTATAAGGAAAAAATCAGATCGGAATTGATCAGAATTGATTTAATGTAAGACAAGAGCTCTTCGCTCGCTTTTGAATTAGTGATGTAAAATTTACTTTACGAATCTTAATGACCCATAGAAATGTTTTTGTTAACAGTAGATAACAGCAAACCTGTAAAGTCATAGGAAAATTTAGTGATTTTTGTAAATAAGAAAATAATAATAACGACAATACAGAGTAACAGAAACTTTAACGCGTTCATTCTTATATAGCCCCAATTTTTTTGTAATTACCCATTTTTGTATAATTTACCCCTGTATTTAGCCTGCGTAGCAGGCGCTTGTAAGTAGTGGGAGAAAGAGAGAACAGGCGCGCGCGAGGGAGACACGCGAGGGGTGAGTCTCCTTCTCGCGCGCCCGTTTTTTCTTGCGCCCACTACTTCCAAGCGCCTGCTACACGGGCTACCCTGTATTCATTATTTAGTTCTGGTGGTTTTTTTGTTGCAATAAAATAAGTACTGTACCGTACCTTTATTGTAAACAGACCAATACCTCCGTTTGAAGAGGCAATAAAGATTTAGTTTCTCTGTTAAAAGCGTTGCCTGCAAACCTGAATAACATACCTGAGAAGATCGAGAAGGGTGTGATTTGCACAGTACAGTGGGGTCCACACACGTCCAAGTGCTGTATTTTCTTTTTTTTCAGCTGTGAGCTACGTTAAGAAACAATTGAGGTGCTGATGGCCCGGCTGCCTGATGTTACTTGTCGCATAATTTGTAGAAAACGTGCAATGAATTTAATTGCGATAACTGCTGTTTGGTGGCGAAACATGTCGCGTTCACGTGAAAGTAGACTGCGCGGGTCACGGAAATAGCAGGCAAAAGTAACCGCCGCCGTACGCGCGCGAACTTTAAATAGATTTCAAATAATTATCATGGGGTACAGGGATTTGCTCTCTTAGCTCATTCTTGATAAGTATCGGGCGCAGGTGATGATACATAAATTTTCCCTATTTCTAGTCGGCAGTTTTTACAAGGAGCAGTCAGTTTTTTTAACGAAAGCTTTTGTTTTGAAGCAAATAACAGATTGATGACGGAGCTAAAAGGACATTTTCGTGTTTTGTGATTTTAGAGGCCGAGCTAGGCCGGTGAATATCATGATAAAAGATTCGAAGATATCGTGGCATTTGAGCAGGTAGCTGTAATTCTCTTTCTGATAATACCGGTTTGGATTGTAAATTGCTTGGAGGCCGTTGCAATCAGGATAACCGACACCTGCTTTTCAGGTGAGGGTTGCGTTTGTTTATTTGGCCGCATTAAAGCCTGGGACAGGTATTAAGACTGAACAAGCAAGAGAATGCGACAAAAAATTAGGGAAAGATTGAGTTATAACGTGTACAATGATTAAGTGAGATGGCTAGCACTGCAGCTATCGTAATATGCAGTATTGCCGCATTTGAATCACTTCTCATTCTAACTGCCAACACCTTCACTGTATACATTTTCTGGTCTCATCGAAACAAGCTAAAACGCACTTCGTTTTTGTTAATTAACTTGGCTGTAGCAGATTTGCTCATCGGATTCACAGAACCAGTAGCGATCGGAACAGTCGGAATACCACAGCGATTTGGCCAAGAATACTACGGGAATGTTTCAACCGCATTTCAAGCCATGTTCGCTGCCACTTCTGTCGTCTGCCTCGTTTCCTTGGAACGAACGTTTGCATTGATTTGCCCATTTCGACATCGAGTGATAAGCACTCGAGCTTACATCCACAGTATAATTTTTGCATGGTTTTCAGGAATAACTGTGGGTCATTCACTTTGCTTGCTGTAAATGGAACAGTGGATTTTATCCATTGGATAGTAGTCTATTGCTGTATTTTAGCTTCATGTTTGCTGACTATATGTGTGACTTATTTGTTAGTCAGAAGAAAGGTTAATACTTGTCGACTGGATCTTACAATGGTTAAAAATCACAGTGAAAACAGACCTAATGATGAGAAATATAGCACTAAACTTTCCAGGACTCTGTTTATTATGATAGCTGTATCTCTTGGTTTTTGGCTTCCAAGCACCGTAATTTTTTCTGTTCACAGCTTATGCCATAGATGTGTCCATGCAAATACCTGTTATCTACACTTCTACAGTATTACACCCGGCCAATTCTCTCGTTAATCCTGTCATATACAGTTTTAGATTGCCGATTTTTAGAGAAGCCGTAGGTAAATTAAAATTAAAAAAAAACGTAATTAGCTGGCATTCTTGAAATTTTATTTTCTTTTATAATTATGTTAAATTTTCAAAAATGAGTAAAAAGAAAATGCCGGTCATGATAGTTCACTTACAGAACAAAAGAGGTTGCCTTTAATTTGTTCAGTTTTGCATTTTTTTTAAACCTCCAGTACATTTTATTATCAATAAAACAGGAGTTTCTTTGTGACTTGAAATCTGAAGAGTATTTTAAAAAATCTTAATCATAAACGGAATTGTTCTACTAATTTTTTCAGAATCAGTTAATTTTGTTCGCATTGACTTGCTTTTTTTTTTCCTACGAAGTGGGCTCATAAAGCTGCAGGCACAACTACGATCTTTATGTCCTTTTGATACCAGAACGCACATAATAACATTGCATACGCCACTTGCACATCTCCCAGAATGCACCTCATGTTTTTTAAGAAAATTAAACTTGCGCTAAAAATGGTGCCAAGAAGAACACCGTTCATTTCTACGTCAATAATGATAATGATAATAAAATAAAACCAAAACGTCATGTTTTAAGTCTGGAAACGTTTTTGATCTCCAAGTACCAAGAGCTATGGAACTTGACCACGCCCAAAGCCAAGAAGGCATTGTTTTGAAGACATTAGTTCTTATAAGAGAGTAAGTTACGGCACATACACCAACCCATGGCTGATGATATACGGTTTTGTTGGTTTATGCACTGCTGATCCCTAATAAGAGCAAAACAGCTGTTCATGGCTGCTACTGCCCAGGTGTTATGTTTGTGCGCATGCTTTAGGCATTCACTTGTTAGGCCGTGTGCCCCCTTTTCTTGCCTCTAAAGGTGATATTACACAAGACGTTTCCCAACTACGATTTGTAGCGAAACACGGAGTTGCATCATTTTTGCGACATCCTTTGGAATGGTTACAACATTGTTCCAACATTGCAACGCTGTGGTAGCGCTAAAAATCTTCGTCGCGAATCGTCCCGTGTAACTGTAGCATCACCTTAATTTAGTCTTTTCATTATCTTAAAATATGCTCTTCTGAAATTTACTAAACGTTTTTGACGTGAACTGCGCACTTGTCAGCGCCATTTTCAACATCTACTTTGAATTTCGTTGCAGAGCTACCATAAACTTAAACTCGGGCATCATTTTTAGCCCGGCCCCCAGTTATAGACGCATCTACCTATAAACAAAAGCGTACATCCGGTTATAAGCCCTCGAAATCGGATCAGTGAAAGTTTCTGAGAAACTGCCCATGTTAGGTGAACTAAGGAAAAATGAGAGAATGATTTCTTCATAGTTCCAACACAAACTGTAAGAACGTGTTTTTTGTTGTGGTAAAGAGTACTTTCTCAGCCCTCCGTACACCTCATAACTTGAGCCTAAGGTTTTTATCCCGCTGACGAAATAGACCTGGTAAAATCTTGCAGATCACGATTTTGTTTTTAAAGAAATAATTAATGACAATATAGAGTGACAGGAACTATAGTGCGTTGAATTCTTTATGGCCTATAAAAAATTTTGTAATTGACAAGTTTTGAATAATCTACTGGTTTGAATGAAATAAAGGTTTAGTACTTTTACTCTTACAAGGTCGAATTGGCGTTTCCTTGTTATCTGAAATTAGAAGGATTAGATTTACATACTAACTTATTGTAGATACCTTTTAGGAGAGGACGATCAGTTATCAATCGTTCTAAAATTCAAGATAAGTTGAGGCAAGAGAGAATAAGCTCACTCTCTCTTGGTTGTGGGAAAACCTCAAAACTGACTTATCGAGCTATCTTTTGAAGAAGATCACCCTGGAGACATTTCATTCAACTGATCAATGTCACCCTATAGTTTCCCAGCAGTAATTTGTGCATGATTTAATGGATGTGCTTAAAACATCTTTGTCTTAGGAGTGATGGTAAAATACGACACTCTCTGTCATATATACCGTAAAATTCCCTAGATAAGTCCCTTCTTGCATGAGCCCCTCTAAAATCGCCCCTCCAGATATATGGCCACCGGGGGCTTCTACTTGGAAATTGCCCTCAAATACAAAGTAAAACAAAGCAAAAATGGTAAATTTCCTGCCTAGCCGAATCGATTTTGAAACGCAAATTTCAGCTCCATAGATAAGGCCTTCCAAAAATAAGCCCCTCAAAAATGGCCTTTGAAAAATATAAGCCCCAGGACTTATTTTCGGAATTTTACGGTATATAGTTGCAAGTACAGAATTGCACTTGCAATGTCCTGTGGGCATTGTAGCTAATATATAGATTTAGCCAGGGCCAAAAGCGAAGCTCCAATTTTAATAAATTTACAATTTAAATCAAACAATAAACTTTTAATCCACAAATCATTTAACTTGAGGGCACATTCATGTGACTTTTGAGGGAAAGGCATCTTACATCAAATTGATAACCTTATATGTACACCCAAAAAATAGCAAACATCTTCGATCACATTCAAGATCACAGTAGATTAGGCCTCGAAAGCAAATTCTTGGAAAACAAATCACGCCAAATTTTTTTGCGTTCGACAGGTTTACTTTACAAATTCTTGCCAACAAATCTGGGGGTGTTTAAACCAACCTTGCATAATTTTTATACACCACATTTGAGGTGAAACAGTACTATTTATCATACAGAGCTCGGACAGAATGCGGTATTTCACAATTTTCACTCAGTCAATATTCAGGACGAGCCAAACCGTTCCAAAATTTCAGAAAATTTCCAAAATCACCCATACGGCCAGCTGGTTCTCGTTTCTATAGTGCGAGCTGTCAGTGTAATCGAGTGTTTGAATGAACTTTAACAGAGTTACGCTTCAACATAATAGCGAATTTATTATTATTTGTTTTGTTATTTAATGGTTTTAGTTATAACGATGTGTAATCTTATAAGGCGTTTGAGGCGTACTCCTGCAAGCGATGGTCATGAACGGTGAAAACAAACGGCACGGACAAGCGATTAAAATTGCAAGAGAAACTACTAACAATCAAAAAAAGAGATAAAATTCCGTGAAACCTTTACAGAGACAACAATTTTCATTCACGAAGACAAGTATTAAAGTGTCTCTAAAAATCCTGAGTCTTTAAGCGTAAAGCTTAAGTTTAAATGTTTTAGCCGGCTTCCCAGCGCGGTGTTTACTGTTTTCGAAGGTGAACTCCTCGAAGCAAGAAAATCGCTCAAAGTTTTCTTTCTACAGCCAAATTTATAATTAAATATCCTTCGGAACGTTTTCTTTCTATTTGTGGTGAGCAAATATATCTGAAGGCTTTTTAAAGTTCTGTAAGCTTATATCAAACCTGATACTAGGTCAGATGATTGACTCAAATCCTGTAAACGTGCATAAACTTGCCGCATAAACTGTCAGCGTGAACTGTGCAAGACTTCATGAAACACAAACATCAAATACAATAATTACTTAGGCTTACCATTCGAGATTCAGTTCCTGAAAGCTATCAAGGGAGGCCACAGTTGCTTGAGACTTTTAAACCCTCTTACGCATTAAGCAAGGTGAAAAACGAAAACGATGCCATCCGAAATCGAATTACCGAATTTTGACAAGCGACGCATTTCTCAACCAAAACCCAGTAAACAAACCAGCCATGAATAACAGAAGACTCTTGATAGCAGCTGTATTTCATTTTGTACCTCCAGAGGAAAAAGACAGTTAAAAACATGACAAGTTGACACAAAACTCTGTCAGCTTCAGCTGTCAAAGTAAACTACTTTCAAGATGCTGCATAATTTTTCCGCATAAACTCACCTGTCAAACTTTGACCAATCAGAGTATAAAAATTGGACCTAGAGCGTGACCAACGCGTGACCATGGTAAGATATGGTCTTCCCCGCCTGTACTTTTAAAAAAACTGGATGAATTTTCGCTTCCGAGGTCAGTTTGAAATCAAAATCCTAATAGTGCGGGGCCATAGTGACATAAACACAACATATTTGATTTGAATCCTTGGAAAAAATAAACTTGAGCCTGCGATCATTTGAAAGTGGTAATTTGTCAGCGGATAACTTTAAAAAATACTCGACCTCGATGGGTCGACACTTGAGCCCGCGGTACGGTCAGGTGATACTTGTCAGCGGATGCCCTGTTTTGATAGCTGTCAATTGATCACAACATTGATGTGCAGCCTGTGCAATTAGTTTTCTCTTGGGCTCCCAAACTAGCTAAAAGTGTGAGAGTAAACATTGGTTTTCCTGTGGTGCGGACGGACGGCGGGCGGTCGGTGTACGGTCACGTGATTACCAAATTTTCTGGGATGGGTAGATTTACTTAGCAATGGGGCTCCGCCCACGCGCGCGCGCTTCGCGCGCGCGTGGAGCTCCGCTATTATTAGTAATATGCATTATTGTCGTATTTAAGACTCTTTCTCATTGTGAATTGTACAATTGTAAATCTGCATTTTTTCTTTTGTTTTTGCCTTGTTTTTGTTTGCACACCTTGTAACACGTAATATTATATATCATTTATGACAACAACGTGGAGTGACTGTAGCTACGTTACGTCATATCATAATACTTGTAATTTCTTATAATTGTTTTTACGTTTAGTCAGTGAAAATTTTACTCAGCTTGGTCAGTTCCATAAGTTGTTCTTTT